CTGCAAAACCGCAAGACGAAAACAAAGGAGATTTTGTGTCGATTTTTCCTCAAGGGTGACGAATCCCTGGCAGTGCGGAAGCGACGTGTTTGGACGTGTTTTCATGCATGCAAATGGCCTGTTTGGCCCATTTCGGGCGCCGCCCAGTGGCGCCCCGGGGCTTCAATCAGCGGGCGTTTTTCGCCCCCGGTTAGTTAAGGGTTTTAATTAGGCCGATGTCGAGAAGTGGCGCTCTCCATCGCGTCCGTCTAATCACGGAGCGGTCATTTCCGGTGCCGATTTTCCCGGATAATGTCGCCACCGGACCGCGCTCCAACTTGGTCAATCCTTTAAGGGGGCGCATTACTCGCGCCCAATTGCCCACTAAATTGGACCTATCTTGACACCTTTACTACAATTTAGGACGCTCTTAAAGTGAGCCCCGCCGGCCCGATTTTATGTCCGTTCTGCGATATTCGCCCCGGATTCTGTCACATTATGGCTTTAAAGTCAACGATAAATTGGCAGCGAAGATGCCCGGGTTCAATTTTATCGGCCCCACTCTGGATGCGGGGCTTTTAATTGATGTGTGCACCTCGTTGGCCAGCTGATAAAGCAAACGCCTTTTGATTTTTCCAAATCGGCCCAAAAACAAAAGAGTTATGGATGGAAGAAGATCCGCAGCAATCTGACACAGAATTCCTGCCCAACTGCGAAATGCGCCCACCGATTTCAACGACTGAAAATCTGAAATTTACCGGATTTTGTGCTCTTCAAATCACCTTTTGGTTTTTCAAAATCGGACCAATGGAAAAAGAGTTATGAGCCATAGAGTTGAGATTTTCAAATTGATTTTTTTGCAAAAACTTCAGGATTTGAAATTTTTTTAGAACTATGCATTTATGGCAACTGATCCCATTCTAAACGCTTTTTGATTTTTTGACATCGGACCGATAATAAAGGAGTTATGGATAAAAAAAGATCGGCAGCAATCTGGCATAGAATTCCTGCCCAACTGCGAAATGCGCCCACCGATTTCAACGACTGAAAATCTGAAATTTACCGGATTTTGTGCTCTTCAAATCACCTTTTGGTTTTTCAAAATCGGACCAATGGAAAAAGAGTTATGAGCCATTGAGTTGAGATTTCCAAATTAATTTTTTTGCAAAAACTTCAGGATTTGAAATTTTTTAAAACTATGCATTTAGGGCAACTGATCCCATTCTAAACGATTTTTGATTTTTCGAAATCGGACCGATAATAAAGGAGTTATGGATAAAAAAAAGATCGGCAGCAATCTGGCATAGAATTCCTGCCCAACTGCGAGATTTGCGCACCGATTTCAACGATTAAAATTCTCAAATGTACGGAATTTGGGGCTCTTTAAATCACCTGTTGGTTTTTCAAAATCGGACGAATGGAAAAAGAGTTATGAGCCATAGAGTTGAGACTTTCAAATTAATTTTTTTGCAAAAACTTCAGGATTTGAAATTTTTTTTAAAACTATGCATTTAGGGCTAGTAATTGCATTTTAAACTGTTTTTGATTTTTTCAAATCGGCCCAAAAATAACAGAGTTATAAATTAAAAAAAACCCACATAAATCCGACAGAGAATTCCTGTGCAGTTTTCTGTCCAACTTTTAGATCCGTCAACCGATTTCAGCGATTAAAAAACTGAAATATTCGGAACATTGTGCTCTTCAAATCAACTTTGGATCTTTCCAAATCGGGCAAGTAGAAAAAGAGTTCTGATTCATAGAGTTACAACTTTCAAAATGGATTTTTTCCATAACCTGCTAAATTTCAAATTTTTTCAAAAGCGCCAATTTTATAGTATTCGACGCCGTTTGAAACGCTTTTCGATTTTTTGAAATCGGCCCAAAAATAACAGAGTTATGGATAAAAAAACCCACATAAATCCGACAGAGAATTCCTGTGCAGTTTTCTGCCCAACTTTGAGATTTGCCAACCGATTTCGACGATTTCAAAACTGAAATATTAGGAATCTTGCGCTCTTCGAATCAACTTTGGATTTTCCCAAATTGCGCGAGTAGAAAAAGAGTTATGAGCCATAGAGTTACGACTTTCAAATTGGATTTTTTCCATAACCTGCTAAATTTCAAATTTTTTCAAAAGCGTCAATTTTAAAGTATTCGACGCCATTTGAAACGCTTTTTGATTTTTTGAAATCGGCCTAAAAATAACAGAGTTATGGATAAAAAACGCCCACATGAATCTGACACAGAATTGCTGTACAGTTTTCAGCCCAACTTTGACATTTGCCAACCGATTTGAATGATTTAAAAACTGAAATATTCGGAACATTGCGCTCTTCAAATTAACTTTGGATTTTCCCAAATTGCGCGAGCAGAAAAAGAGTTATGAGCCATAGAGTTACGACTTTCAAAATGGATTTTCCCCAAAATCTGCAAAATTTCAAATTTTTTCAAAAGCGTCAATTATACAGTATTCGACCGCATTTGAAACGCTTTTTGATTTTTTGAAATCGGCCTAAAAATAACAGAGTTATGGATAAAAAAAAGCCCACATGAATCTGACACAGAATTGCTGTACAGTTTTCTGCCCAACTTTGAGATTTGCCAACCGATTTCAACGATTTAAAAACTGAAATATTCGGAATCGTGCGCTCTTCAAATCAACTTTGGATTTTCCCAAATCGCGCGAGTAGAAAAAGAGTTATGCCCCCAAAACGCCCCCAAACCGGAATCAAACAAACTCAAAACTCATCAGTCCTTTATTATTGAATTAGCAAAAATCAGTCGATAGATCCTGAGCAGCGAGTCGGCGCCGCCGCTGCAGAGCTGCAGCTCCCCAGGGGCTCCGCCTTGGGGCCGGAACGCCAGCCTGCGCACGCTCAAGTGGTGGGCCGCCCTGCAACCAAACGCTCTTACTCACTGGGCGCAGCCCCCACCGCCACTCACCCCTGAGGCAGGTGCAGCAGCCGCTCAGAGCGCAGCCCCTTGAAAGCGTAGAAGTCGATCGTTCCAGCCTCCAGCCCAATGGCGCAGAAGTAGCCTCCGTCCACTAGCCGGGGGGCGAAAGCCACCGCCGTCACCGACTGGTTGGGGAAGTGCAGCGGCTCGCCGGCAGGCCCCCAGCGGCCCACCGGCTCCACCGGCTCCTTCCCAGCCTCCTCCGCCCAAAGGGCGAGCTTCCCGTCCCTCGACCCTAAAAACCCTTTGAGCACGTCCCTCCAGGGCAATTGAGGGGCATCCTACCTGTGGCGAAGCAAAGGGAGTCGTGCGTCCAGGCGCAGCTCCAGACGATCCGGGAATGCACCGGGTGGGGCCCCCCGCTGCAGGCCTCCAAAGTGAAGCGGGCGTCCGCCCCCTTGAGGTGCAGCGACCACGTTCTGTCCCTGGACACGGCCAGCAGGCGCCTGGACTGCGGGTCGAACTGCATCTGGACCACCGTCAGCCTGTGGCCGGTCAACTCCTGGATCTGCTGCCAGCTCTCGGTGTCCCACAGGAAGATTCCGGCCTGTTGCGGCTTGGAGGCTTTGCAGGCGGACGCCAGCAGGCGCCCATCGGGCGCCGCCGCCAGCGCCATTATCTCGTTCCCGTGGCCGTAAAGCTTCTGAGTTTCCGGCCACAACGTGTTCTCGATCAGCGTTTCTTCAGTGGGGGGCGCTGAAACTCTTCAACTCCATCAAAACTCCTCACAGCCCTGCGCCAGCCAACCTGGAGCCTCCCCGCTGGGCGCATCCGCCACTCTGTCCACAGGCAGCGCCTTGTTGGAGAGCCCGAGACTGGGCACGGCGGCCCCTTTGGGGCCCGTCAGCGCCCCGTCGCTGGCCTGGAAGACCCGCACGATCTTCTCGTCGGCGCCCGACGCGTACTGGAAGCGCCCAATCACCGCCACCGCGTTCATGTCGTAGCCGTGCACCTGAGGGCGGCCGAACTCGGCCCAGCCGCCCTCCCAGGGGCCGTGGATGCGCACCGTCTGGTCCGCCCCTGCGGTGTAGACGAACGCCCCCCGGGGGTCCCAGGCCAGGTCTGCGATGGCGTCGAAGTGCCCGCCCACTTTGGAAGCGGGCGCCCAGCGCCCGCCGGCGTCCTGCGCCCAGATGTGGAACGCCCCGTGGTAGCTGTGGGCGACCACCCGGTTGCCGCTGAAGGCGCCCCCGTAGAAGCCCAGCACGTTGCCGCCCACTTCGCCGAGCCGCGCGCTTTCCAGCCACAAGCCTGCAAGCGATTAGGTTGAAATGTTGCTGATGCCTGCGGGTCGCCGGCCCCACCTGAGGCCTCGTCGGGCTCCCAAATGATCAGGCTGTTGTCGATGGAGGCCGAGAGGAGTTGGGCGGCCTGCGGGCCCCAATGCACCGAGTAAACCCAGCCCTCGTGCCCCGCCAGCACGGCCTCCAGCTGGGCTTCGCCCCCTTCGGGCAGCTTCCAGATCCGCACGGTGGAGTCTTGCGAGCTGGAGGCCAACAGCAGCTCGCCTTGCCCTGAAACACCATCATCAACATCAGAGGAGGGGCTTTTGAGCCGTGGGCCTCTAACCGTTCAGCGCAAAATCCAGGCCTCGCACCCAGTCCTCGTGCCCCGAGAGGACCGAGCCCTTAATCCAGACCTGCCGATCGGTTTCCGTGAGCAGCAGGATTTTAGAGTCCTCCAAGGCGCACGCCAGCAGGGGGCTTGTGGCGGAGCCCCCCAAGCGCAGCCCCATGCAGAGGCTACGCCCTATGCGGCAGGTCTCGCTGGGGCGGAACTCGCCGCCTGGGGCGTCTCTGGTCCAGATCCGCACCACCCCCGGCTCCATGGCGGCGCCCGCGATTATGGTGCGCCCGTTGCAACTCCACCCGTCCACTATGTTAACAGTGGGGCCGCCAGCGGGCAGGATGAACCGGGCATGGGCGCCCCCTTGGGGCTTCCACACCACAACGCTCCCATCGGACGCGCCCGAAACCAGCTCCCCATCGCTGCCTCGGATCCAGCGCACGGAGTTCACGCGCTTCGTGTGCCCGATGAGCGTCTGGACCACTCGGGCGGCCTGAAAACACAGAAACACACCTTGGGGCCCTAAAAAGCACAGCCTAACCTTACATTTAAGTCGTAGATGAGCACAGCGTGGCAGGACCCGTAGGCCAGCAGGTGGTTTTCGTTGCAGTCGGCCCCCGTGGGCGTCTGGTTGCAGTTGCTGGACACGTACACTGATTTGGCTTCCATTTTCGGGGAATTTGCCGAAAAGTTCGCTTCTAGTTGACAACAACAACTTAGGTTACCTTGAAAGGGGATAACTTTAGCCCCCTTGGAAGACATTGTTGCCAGATTTCAGCTGATTTGAGGCCTTATTATGAGACAGAGAGAAAATGAGAAACATATTATTATAGATTTACCGAGTTATTTAAAACATCGATAAAATAAATTATTTCCGACTTAAAATGTCTACCAAAAATCAGTTTAAGGCTTTATCGATGGCGAAAGCGGCATTGCCAATTGCGCAACCCTGCAAGGACAGTTTGAACAAAGTGAAGCGTGACAGTGCTGCTGCCACTCAGAGTCAAAGAGTTTGTTTACCTGCAGGAATGTTACTGGAAAATGCCCATTAGCCTCCTGAGCAGTGCGACTTTCCAGTGCCGGTGCCYCAATCGTGCTCCCAGACTGTTCTAGACCAGCCGCAGGTGAGTGGGCAAAGCCCCAGCGGTGCTCGGGGCGCATAAGGGGGCGAAGCCCTAGAGGCTCGGTTGGCCGCAAGCACCATCCCTCCCGGGCTGCAGGCTGGCAGGTGCACCTGCAGGCCCCCCGAGCGGAATCCCCGTTATCCTAACGGTTCTTGATGCGGCATATTGCACGCTTAAGGAGCTGGCTTTGTTGCAGGCGCGGACTGGGGGCGACCAGCCAGCATGAATTCGACGCTGGTGGAAACCGTCAGTATCAACTATGAGGACTTCAGCGAGAGCTTCCTCACCTGTGGGACCTGCCTGTGTAAGTGGCGCGGGCTGCGATGTGGGCGCATCCGCCATTTGATCCAGGACCACTGTTGCAGGCATGTACAATGGGAACGAGCACACGCCCAAGCTGCTGCAGTGCTCGCACACGGTGTGCCTGCACTGTCTCACGCGCATCGCTGCCTCCCAGACGCGCGACACTGGCACCTTCCGCTGCCCGATCTGCCGCGAACTGATCACCATCCCCCGGGGGGGCGTTAGCGCGCTCCCGCCCTCCTTCCTGGTCAACCAGCTGCTCGACTTGATGTCGCGGCAACGCCGCGAGGTGCCCCACTCTCTTTTCCGCCTTAAGACACTTTTTCTGCAACTGCCCTCGTTCCACAGGTGATCCCCAAATGCTCCGTCCACATCAACCAAGAGCTGCTGTTCTGCGAGACGTGCGACACTGTCTTCTGCACGCTGTGCACGGGGGGCACGCACAACGACAGCACAAACAGCTGCGAGCACACCATCATCCCCTTCTCCATTGCCATCAAGCGCATGTCCGAGATCCTGCTCTACAAGGCGAACGAGTGCATCTCCAAGGTACACGCCCCCTGCGGGCTCCGCCCCTGCGACTCACGCCCCGCCCATTGCAGCTGACGCAGGCGCAAGAGGGCGTCACCGCCGAGCTGGACAAGCTGACGGCGGCGCGCGACGCTTGCCTGGAGCACATCAGCGACACCTTCCGGATGATCCAGGAAACCGTCGAGAGACGACGACAGGAGATGGGCGAGCAGGTGGCGCAGATGTGCGCGGAAAAGAGACGGGTGCTCGAGGAGCAGCACGCGCTGATCGAGAGCGAAAAGAACAAGGTGAGTGAGGGGGGCAGGGTGGCGGGTGGTGCAGCCGTTGGTCGGCAGGTGGAGCAGGAGTGCCAAGGGCTGCAGTACCAGGTGGAGGTGCGCAGCATCACGCAGAAAATCGAGATCCTCTCCGAGAAGCTGGACGCGGCCTTCAGTTTGGGGGAGCCGAGGGAGAACGCGTTCCTCACCAGCGATTTCGCCATGAACGACAGTCTGGACCAGATCCAGCAGCATCTGGGCGTTTTGGGTAAGTGGGCGGGGCGCTTGGGCGCGCGCAGCTAATCAGGATTGGCAGGCAAGGTGCGCACCTCCACCACATTCCCCAGCCTCTGCTGCGCCCAGATCGAGGACAGCGTCATCGCGGGCATCGAGACCTGCGTGACGCTCACCACGGTGGACTACCATGGCAACGCGCGCAAAACGGGGGGCGACCCCATCAGGGCGGAGGCGCTTGCGCCCACCGCCCAAGAGGAGCCGCTTGCGGTGCGCGTGCACGACTGCGACGACGGAACCTACCGGATCCTCTTCAGGCCGCCGACGGCGGGCCGCTATTGGCTGAAAATCTTCGTGATCGACCGCCCGATCAAGGACACGCCCATCCAACTGCAGGCCTCCGAGCACAACAACCCGGTGGCCACCTATGGGAGCAAGGGCAGCGGCAAGGTGCGCCCAACGCGCCCAGCGGCGTTGCCAGCCAGCTAATGCCCCCCTTGTTGCAGGACGAGTTCAACCAGCCAGTGGCGGTGGCCGTGGACGAAAAGGACCAGCTGGTCTACGTGCTCGACACCGGCAACTCGCGCGTCAAGGTGCTGAGCGCCCAGCTCGAGTTCCTCAAGCACGTGACCAACGAGGCGCTCTTGGGGCGCAGCTGTACCGGTAGGCCGAGCTCATGCTCAACATGAAAAGTCTTGATCGTTGTGCCTTGATGCAGGCCTGGCGATCTCCTCGCGCGGCCTGCTGGTGGTGAACTGGCGCTCCAAGGCGGTGACGGAGATCACGACGGACGGCGAAACGTTGCGCTCCTTCACCCACCAAACGTTCCAGGAGCCGATCGACGTGGCCGTGGAGAGGAGCTACGGGCACATTTTGGTGGCCGATAACGGCATCAGTGGCGTGCTGGTCTTCGACGAGGAGGGCAAGCTCCTGTTCCAGGTGGGCAAACGCGGCACCTTCTCCATGATTTCGTCGGTGGCCGTCGGCCCCACGGGGGAGATCTTCATTGCCGACTCGCGGGTGCAGATGTTCTCGCCCAAGGGCGACTTTGTGGGCGTGGTGTTCGACGAAGGGCGCGGTAAGGGGCGCCGCCCCCGGCTTCCACTGGTTTGACTGGTTCGGTTTCAGTGAGCCTGGGCGGCATTGTGGTGGACGGCGAGGGGCGCATCGTGGCCAGCCGCACGGAGCCCAAGGGGCGCACGTTCCTGCAGGTGTTGAGCGCCCACGACCCCGCCGTCAACCAGCACATTGACTCGCACGACTCCAAGCTGAAGCGCCCCGCCGGCTGCGCCGTCACTGGGGACCTCCACGTGATCGTGGTCGATCTGGGCAACAACTGCATCAAGAAGTATCGCTACTGGTGATCTCCAGCTCGCTCTCTCTTCCACGTACTTAACTCCAGCTGCGCGTCCTGTACAAAACACCCATTTCTAGTCAACTAGTCTGTATTTTTATATATATATATGTGTATGTATTAGTGCCATATTAAACTGAACGCGAATCTCCCTCGATCGCCCAAGCCTTGAATCAGTCTCGCTTTATTCAGATATGCGGCCCTAACCTAACAGAACCCGGGGCTGCGCCCCTGAGTATTTTTGCTTGTTTGAACACGTGAGTTGCACACCCTGTGAGCCGAAATTGTCCGAAAGGCACGATTTGTTTCTTTTTCAATGTCTTATTCCTAAAGGGGGGGCGCAGTGGCGGGCCTGCGGCGCTTCATTCGCTGGTGCGACGTTGACACATCGTCTGGTCCATCCGGGGGCTGAGGATCTGGAAGGCGGAGCCCAAGCTGGGGCGCAGCTTGAAGCTGCTGGGCTGCGGCGCGCTGTCCAACAGCAGATCGGTGCGCTCGTCCAACGCCTTCAGCCGCACCTGGTTGCAGCAGGAGGCCAGAGGTGATGGGTGTGCAGTGCCAGAGCCTACCTTTTCGCAGCCATCGGGGGGCTCGCGCGCCAGAAACCGGTTGATTCGGGGGGAGGTGCCCAGCTTGGTCTCAGTGTCGGGGCTGGAGCCTGAGGATGAGTCGTTGCCGAAATCTTGCGGCGTTTGCGTGTCGGCGGAGCGCGACTGCAGCATCTCGGCCAGGGGCGCGCGGTGGCCCTCCGGGGTGGGCAGCCGGGCGTCCGCCCCCGTGCGCAGCACCAAGCGCTCGATCTCCTGGTTCAGGCCCTCCACTGAGCTGCGCAGCCCCAGCAAGCAACCTGCAACGTTTCAGCATCATTTCCAGTCCCCATTTTCCCCGATCTGCACTTACTGGCTGTTTGGGGGCTGTGCTCCTGCAGGCCACGCCCCTTGGCCCTGTCGCACCACTCACAGTCCTCCAGGGGCCCCAGATGGCTCCAATGCAGACGGTCTTTCGGCCACTGTCCCTTCAAGTAGACAGTGTCCAAGGAGGCAGTGCGGCGCATTGTCTTCAGGGCTGCGCCGCCGCTGACCTTCTCGCGGCCTGCAGCTGCAGCACTGGTTTCAAACAATGTACCTACGTGCAAATGCGCGTACCTTTATGGCAGCTGGCGCCAGGGCTGCGCTGGCCGGAAACGTGGTCAGGTGAGGCCCCCGATGTTTTCCAGGACAGTCGGGGGGCGCTGACGGGCGGCGCATGGGGGCTGCCGCTCTTGACCACGCCACTGAACGGAATGGTGGCCTTCAGGGGGCCCTGCTTGCCTGCAACACGACGCTCCGCAAGCACGCTTGACAAGCCGGGGGCTCTGCCCTTACCCGAATGCTGCGCTTTGGACATAGCGACTTTGACGGCCAATGGAGCGAATGGTTACGACCAGGGCGCAGCCCTGGGCGTTACATTGCGGGGATCTTCTAGGACTTTGTGGCTGCACGCTTTGTTTGGCCGTCACTGTCTAACTAATGCGGTGTTGCTGACGGATTTTTGGTGGTTTCCACGCTCGGGAGCGAACCAATTTTGGAAAATTAGTGTCGATCTAATAAAAGATTGTCAATTCTTAAAAAAATAGCAAATTTATTGGAAGTGAATGCGGGGAAAGTGGACTAATTCGCATTACAGTTTGCGGATGAAACCTGCAAACTGTGGCGCCATCTGCCGAGGCTGCGACCGCAACGTTTCTAGGTTAGGTTTACTGGGGGGCCCCTTCGGTGCTCCATATGTCTGGCACAGCATAAAGGAGCGAGCACAGCTCGTTGTAGCCTTTGGCGTCGAACTTCTCGTTGGCGAAAATCACATAATCCAGCGCCTTGATGGAGTTGCGAGAGGTGCATTCACCGCGCACCTGCAACAGCCCCCTTGAGCTCCTACTGGTGGTACTTCTAGAGTAGGGCTTACCTCGACCCAGCCGCTGACGGGCTGCGTGGGGGGCTCATTCGGGATCACCTGCACCTGGACGTTGTCAGTGGTGACTATCGTGAAGGACGCGGCGCCCGGGTCTGCGCCCCCTGCCTTGCCGATGATACTGACGTTTTTCCCCAAAAAGCGGGGCAGTTGGGCCCCGTTCACAATGTCCCGCACGTTATCCATTATTGTTTATGTTTGTTTTTGAACATTTGACAGGAACCGTTTCGATCAGTGTTGCCAACCAGATCCGTTCAATCGAACCACATCACTGTTGTTTGTGCCAGATGGCGCGCGCTACCTGGCCGATCGTCTTTTGTTAGTTTGTCAAGACAAACGCGTTGCTCTCGGATTATGTGCCAAAATCGCCGGCAATCGGGAGTTTTTCGCGATCAAAACTGTGCCACTTTGAAGCTGACGCTGTTCCCGATCGAATAGTGTAAAAAGTGACGCTGTTCCTGACAGCATGGTGCAGGAACTTCCGGTGAGTGACCACTTTTGGTGCTTTTATTGGCTTAATTCCCCCCATTTTGCTGCCCGCTGTACGCTTTCAGCTACTGTTCACTCGCCAATTGCAATTTCCACGGAAAAATCCCAATTAAACGTGTTTTTCGTGGGTTTTCTCCCCATCCCCACTCAGTTTGGGCGGAAGCCGCCAGATAGCGCGCGCCTCCTTGCCGATCGTCATTTGTTTTACAACGGTCATCGACGGTTTGTTTGTATTGTGTTCGTCGCCCCAGTGTTTGTGCCGAAATTGCCAGCCATCGGGTGTTTTTTGCGGTGAAAACTGTGCCACTTTGAAGCCGAAACTGTTCCCGACCGAATGGTGTATGAAGTTCTGGTAAGCGACCACTTTTAGTGCTTTTATTGGGTTAATTCCACTCATTTTGCTGCCCCCTGTACGCTTTCAGCTACTGTTCACTCAACAATTGCAATTTCCACGGAAAAATCCCGATTAAACGTGTTTTTCAAGATTTTTCTCCCCATCCCCACTCAGTTTGGGCGGAAGTCGTCCGATGGTGCGCGCATCTTTGTCGATCGTCGTTTGTTTTCCAACGGTCATTTCCGGTTTGTTTGTATTGTACGTGTTGCCCCAATGTTTATGGGCCGAAATCGCCAGCAATCGGGTGTTTTTTGCGGTAAAAACTGTGCCACTTTGAAGCCGAAACTGTTCCTGACCGAATGGTGTATAAAGTTCTGGTAAGCGACCAATTTTAGTGCTTTTATTGGGTTAATTCCACCCATTTTGCTGCCCCCGGTACGCTTTCAGCTACTGTTCACTCGCCAATTGCAATTTCCACGGAAAAATCCCGATTAAACGTGTTTTTCACGATTTTTCTCCCGATCCCCACTCAGTTTGGGCGGAAGTCGTCCGATGGTGCGCGCATCTTTGCCGATCGTCGTTTGTTTTCCAACGGTCTTTTCCGGTTTGTTTGTATTGTACGTGTTGCCCCAATGTTTGTGGTCCGAAATCGCCAGCAATCGGGTGTTTTTTGCGGTAAAAACTGTGCCATTTTGAAGCCGAAACTGTTCCCGACCGAATGGTGTAAAAAGTTCTGGTAAGCGACCACTTTTAGTGCTTTTGTTGGCTTAATTCCCTCCATTTTGTGCCCCCCTGTATGTCTTTGGCCGCTGGTCACACTTCAAGGCAATTTCCGCCTGAAATCCTCGTCCACTGTGTGTTTTTCATAATTTCCCACCAGTTTGAGCCGGTTGCGATCGGGCCTGTTCAAAAGCCTTGATGGGGCGGCGCATTCGCCTCCGAGAGAGGTGTCAAGAATATTCCATAGTCTTTGGAGAGTTTTAATAAGCAGCAGCAGCTATTTAGCAGCGCAATTAAGCGCTGTGGGTTGTATTTGAATGTGGCCGGCGATTGGGGTTTAATGAAGTATTGGGAGTTCAAGCGCATCTGGGCGGCCCTAAATAACAATCACAATGGCCCCGCAAAACCAATTCGATTCAAGCCATTCGCTTGTGTGCTCCATTACATTGGCGTTTATTCTTGTGTGTTTTTTTAGGAAATCGAGTCTGTTGTCGAGTGGAAATTGTCCGGGATCTGGAAGCTGTGCTGGACAAACCGCAGAGGCCAAGGCAAGTTCATTGTGTACAGAGCCGCGGATATCCCCTAATGCACAAGGCATGTTAGTGCGAGCGATGGTATCGTTACACGCGTTGCCGGACATTGAAACCACCTTTCAATGATGGCTATTATGCTGCGGTAGTTGGTATCATTCGGCCGTCATCTATCAAATTACATGCGGAACGCATTTTCTGTTTCTGCAACTTAATCACTATCGTTACGGCCGCGCTAAATGGGGGCTATTGTTCCAGTAACATGCGAGTTTTCCGATTAAACCTTGACTGGTCTCTTTCAGGTGACGCTGGCGCGCCTTCGCCATCTTGTCCACACACCCGGAGGCTTGTGGCTGTTGGGGCAACTGCGGGTGGAGCCGAATTGCATGGGGCGCATTTGGGCGCCGCGRCCSGCCTGACGTCACGGCGTCGCACTGCACGGACTGCACCCAATGGGGCCAGTGGGCGCCGGGGCAGAGGCGCGTGCGCCCCGCGCCCTCGAAGGCGCCCGAACGCGCGCGACGTCCGCCGCCGTCAGTACCGTGTTGATAGCGTAGTATAGCACGCGATCGGGCTCGACAGCTTATCCCGGTCACTGTTTACCTTTTAGTGTAGTCGTAGATCAGGCAGTTTAAACAGTCGGTGTAATGGAGGGCCAGAACCAGGAAATGATGGCAGGCGGATCCCCAGCCGAGGTGCCGAACGATCCAGGGTGAGTTTCGTCGACGAGCGTCGACCACGACGTCGACGACGCCGGCCTAACACGTGTTTGCGCCCCGCCCCCGCCTTACTAACTCCTCGCTCTCTTTTCCAGGAAAATGTTCATTGGCGGCCTCAGTTGGCAGACAAGTCCAGGTGAGTCTCCAGCAGCCTTGACTGCCGAGGAAAGTTTCACTCGTTTGTTTACTCGCCCGATTAACGCGCTTAAGCACGTGGCGCTGCTGTCTATTTATCTATCTCTCTATGCATCTGTGCACTCAAATGCTGCAGGCTGGTGCACGCACAGTTTTGAATTCTCGCGCGCTTTGAGGGCTGAACGGCCCTCCACCCCCCAGGTGGCGCCACCGGTTCTGCCACGTGGCCGCGGCTTTTATCATTCACTTGGAAGAAGGAAACCTCCGCTTATCGATCCCGATCCACCGGCCTGGAT